AGAATCACAGAATCACAGAATAGTAGGGGTTGGAAGGGACCTCTGTGGGTCACCTAGTCCAAATCCCCTGCCGAAGCAGGGTCACCTACAGTAGGCTGCACAGGATCTTGTCCAGGTGGGTCTTGAATATCTCCAGAGAAGGAGACTCCACAACCTCCCTGGGCAGCCTGTTCCAGTGCTCTGTCACCCTCAGAGGGAAGAAGTTCTTCCTCATGTTCAGACGGAACTTCCTGTGCCTCAGTTTGTGCCCATTGCCCCTTGTCCTGTCACTGGGCACCACTGAAAAGAGCTTGGCCCCATCCTCCTGACACCCACCCTGCAGATATTTTATCACAACCACCTCCTCCGGCCGCTGCGAAAAGCTCCCAGCAGGCAGGTCCCGAGGAGGAAGAAGGGGCCCTGGCTGCCCGATGAACACGCACCAGCTGGGGAGGTTTAATCTACATCTCCTTAATGGGCTGGTTACCATGGGAACGAGGGAAATATGTGGCCTTTGCAGCAAGTCCTCCTTTCCCTCACCATCCAAAAACCCAGCCCTGGGCTGGTGGGCCCCCGGGGCGCTGCCCGCCCTACGCCGGGGGAAGGAGATGCCTCTCACCCCACCTCCCCACCAAGCAGTTCTAGCAGAACACCCAAATCCCATGGTTTTTAATTAAAGAATTATGGGTGAGGTAAAGGGGAGCTCAGCCCAGCCTTTGACGCCACGCTTCCACAAAAGCAAACCACTTCTGAACTTCCACCTCCGGCTCTTGATGCAGCCGGGCAGGCGGTGGGAGGGGAGCTGGACAGACTGACAGCAGCGGATGAGACAGACCTCAGCAGACTCTGGGAAGCAGGAGATATGGAAAGGTCACTCCTGCTCCCCTGGTGTCCCTTCCTTTCTTCTGGGAAGCAAGCCATCCTCCCCACACGCACGCTCGAGGGGTTAACGTGGATGAAACCTGTGGGTGCTTCCAGGCAGCCATAAATACTGCTGGCACAGAGCAAAGCTTGCACCCGAGGGACCTGGGGCTGCCGTGCCGTGTCCCCAGCACAAACCAGATGGAGGGAGCAGAGCACTCCCTTAGCCCAGAAGCACGAGAGGAATTCTCCTCCGCTCTCGCCCGTCTCCCAGCCTCGGCCCCCAATTCTCCGTCTGGCTCTGCTGGATGGGGAGCCATGGCTTGGGCTGGCCCGAGCACCCTCCGTGCTCACCCCAGGGGTGCTGGAGCCTTTCCTGATGCCTTCCACCAAGATCTCCTCTGCCTCCATCTGCCCAGGACCCCCGAGCACCCACCACCTGCCCCACTGGTTTTCAACAGAGAAAGCAGAGGAGAGGGAGGGGCTGGCTGAACTTCCAACCCGCGGATGCTTCCAAAACACGCTCTGGTTAACGTCACTCAAACTGAGGGCTGCTAAACACACGTGTTGAGAGAAGGGAGACAGTCAGGCTCTCCTTCCTTGGTCTTCTACAAAAGCCTGGTCCCTCCTGAGTCCCCCGCTCAGAGGCTCCTTTCCTCTGAGTTTTCCCGACGGCGGTGGCCGGTGTCATCCCCCAAAGCGGGATCCCTGCGCTGGGGCAGGCTGGAGAGGAGAAGCTGCTTTCCAGGTAACCA